TGTTAAGTTTCACTATGAGAACAGGAGCGCCGTGTTTTTAGTTTCACTTTCACACCCGACTGTAATTAGCATGTCCACTTTGTTTTTCCTTTAAAAAATACTGGAACTGCTCATAGGAGGCATTGAAGAAACTCTATTCTTCTCCTTGCTGGATTACAATAAAAAAGCTCTTGGTCTTTTCTCGCTGTTACGTTCATAAGAGCGAGTAAAGAGCTGCCGTCCACGTCCAAAAAAAATAAGTGCATATATCAGCGAATCGGTTAGACTAATGACAAAATAATCTGTATCGGCCTTCAAAAACCTGTAACGGTCAATCTCTACTATGTAATGTGCTGAATTAAAAACAGTGCAGCCATGGGGGGAACACCCTGCAGCAGTCATAACAGGAACTTTTTCAGCAGCATCAAGAGCCAAAAGTACGTGCCGAAAACTAACCAAAGTGGTGAGTTGTTTTTAATTATGAGTATAATCAAATCTGTGTCGTTCATTGCCCAGYAAACTACACTGAGCGCCTCAAATAGGGCTGCAGTAGGAGACAGACAACTATGGCTAACAGGCTAGCAGGCTACTAGCAGCTCTTCATGTGAAACAGCGCTCCGAACTGTGCTTCTTTCAGCATGTTATTATGCTGAAATGATCAACTCCCTTTAAATAAAAAAAATGAACAGCTTTGATGASCAGCTGGTCTGATTTTATTGACCACCTGAATGAGCAACCAGTGTTTACTCATTCTTACAGCTCTCCCAAAAGTTTAATGCTGATTTAACATTGAGTGAAAGCAACTATCATTCACTGACACTCAGAGTGCTGAGGGTGYGCAGTCCAGTCAGGGACACCTTCTTCCTCATTTTCAGTTTCAGAGCTTTCTGTTGGAGCAGCAGTTTCTCCACTCTGGGTGACTGGTTCATATTGGTACAGCTGGATGGGTTTTATATTTAGAGAAATAGAGAAATCCAATTCAGAATCAGAGACGGGCATGTTAGTAGTCTGACTGTTTGGCAAGTGTGACGTCACATAGCAACAACTGTTTAACTTAGAAACTAAAATTATGATTTTGGGCAATATTGTATATGCTGTTAAGTGCCAGGAGGACTGCGACCAGTTATACATCGGGGAAACAAAGCAACCACTGTTCAAAAGAATGTCCCAACACAGACGAGCTACATCTAATGGCCAGAACTCTGCAGTTTTCACTCATTTACAGGCCAGCGGTCATTCTTTCAGAGATGAGGATGTTCTCATTCTTGATAGAGAGGAACGTTGGTTTGAGAGAGGAGTAAAAGAAGCCATTTTTTGTGAAGAAAGACCGTCCATCATTAAACAGAGGTGGAGGCCTCCGTTTTCAGTTGTCCCCCTCCTACAGTGCTGCCATTGGCAGTATCACTCCACCCCCTGTTAACAATAGGTATTAATTAGGTGTGAACGATAGCCATGTGATGTGAGTATCAGTCACATGGAGGCAGGACTCAAAAGCCTGAATTTTGCCTGAAACTCTCAGACTGAAGAAGTCTCTTGGAGGAGAGACGAAACGTTTCATTAYAGAAGAACCCGTCCAGAGGACCTATACAATTTTTTTCCTTTTGATTTTTTACCTGGATTACTGAGATGCATCAGGACATTTTGGGCTCTGTAGCCCCTTTTAGCTGATGGAAAATCATATTTTTTATATTTTTTCATTAGAGTTGTGGATAATTTAAATCATAATTTTAAATAAAACATTGTATGAATGTAAAATATGCAAAATACATAGTTTTGTTTTTTCCTTCATTTGACCTTTAAGGTCTGGTTATGCTCAATGAGACATTAGACACCAGATATCAATGATGTGACTTTGAGACAGTGTTTTTCACATGAACAATTCATACCTCTGTGACTCTCTGCGTCGTCTTTGTGCGAAAAATAAAGTATCCAATCTCCAGCCACAAGTTCTTTGACTTTATCATTTTTGCTGGAAGATGGCTGTATTTTCTAACAGCTTCGGCCAGCGGATTCTCAACGAGCAGAAATGAGAGCAGGTGCTTGCAGCCACTTTTTACAAACACACCCATGAAGTTCTGACCAATCACACAATACTTGGCACATTTCTTGTAAGAAGTAGTTATGTCAGGGTGTCATGCACAAGATGGGGTCTCAGCAGGGGGTACAAGAAGAAAATATGCAATTTTTCTCCCTTCTCAGACTATAAACCAGCCTTTAGCCATCTCAAAGATGCTATTTAAACCTGTGCTAAAACACTGTCCCCTCATCCCCTGTGGTGTGCTTTTCTGCCTCTGTGTTTTGATCAAACTCTACAAGACTTGCATACACACGAGWTGTACGTATGAGCTCAGAGTGAAATGGAGAAAGAGGGGAAGAAGGAGCTAAAGAGGCAGGAAAATGGCCAGGGTTTGGTCAGTGGCAACAGAGCTTAGAAGTTAAAACCCTAAAGCAAACAAAAATCCAGCGACAGACAAAACACAAAATGAACAGTCCAGCAGAACAGGGCTGAAGCTGAGGGATAAGAGGTCCTATCTTCAGCCTGAAGCCTCCTCTGCTGCAGCTGCCTCAACTCACACTGTAGACAGAGTGTGTACTTGTTTTGTGTGAATGTCCAGCCTCCTTCAAGCTCTCTCTCCTTGGCATGCTCTCTCTCTCTCTCTGTGTGTGTGTGTGTGTGTGTGTGTGTGTGTGTGTGTGTGTGT